CTCGCAGGGGGACACCATGACACCCCCCACTCTGGAGTTCAGTCACAGACCGTGTCCGAGCCGATTGATTGGAAGTGGGTTAGCTCCCGACTGACTCTAGAGAGTCCGAGACCAAAGCAAATGTGTTGGAAACCAACATTTAAACTTGAAATTATATCATGAAATTGCAAAAATGATAAATTATTTTCTCTACTAGTTTATTGTAGTAAATGTTTTTACTCCTAAAATTCAGTTTATAATCACAAAATTAAACTAATGACAGTCTTTAAATAGGGGACCCCCCAATTATGATTCAAGGGCCTCCTCTGTTAAACTTACACCACAGCTCTTGTCAAAACGTTAATCAAAACAAAAATCATACACAAACACTGAACAATTTTGAAAATGTAAGATGGAAAATAATAAATATGTGCATAAAATCAAGACTTTTGAGATTAAACTCGAATTATGAAAGGAATAGAGAAACATTTAGTTTGACTGTATTGAAGTTGGCATTATTCTTCTTCCTCAGCCAAAAATTGTTTGAACTAGTATTATCAGACATTTATAAGATTTGTTTATGTCTACATATTCTCAGCTGTCTACTATAGAAGTGTGGCTTTATTTTGATGGTTATAATCTCTACTCTTTCTATTTGATGTTTATTACAGATTACTCCAAAGTAATTATGAGATGTTAGAAAATGAAGAAATGGTATACAAAGTAGTCACAGCTTTGGTACGCAGTGAAATGTATGAACAGGCTGGTGAATTATTTGAACGTGTGAACCAATCAGAAAAAGCTTTTGATTGTTATAGGAAAGGGAATGTATTTTCAAAAGCTATTGAACTGGCTCGTTATGTATCACCAGCAGGTAATATATTTTTGAGAGTGTAAATATACTGTTTTTATTCCATTTGCAATTATGCCAAAAAAAAAAAAAAAAATTTGGGAAATAAGAAAAGCTATAAATACTTATGAACAATGGTGAACAGAAGGGGAGGGGGGGGGGAAACTGGGGCAACTTGCCTCAGGTCCCAACTTAATTGACGCTCAGAATTTCTCTTCACTCAAAAGAAATAAAAAACACTTATTCATCTCTAATCCACATTTAACTCTATATGTTATTTCTGAAGTAGGGAGAAATGAATTCTGTTTATGAATTGGGAGAGTAGAAAACTTTGAATTAAAGGGGATCAACTGCCCAAGGTTCCTAGTTTTCACTGAGTGCCCCTGCTTATAAATTGTGTGGAAGTTGGTGGTGTTGTGGAATTGTGATAGTGTTCTGAGTAACTGTTTTTTTTTCCTTTCCTGGGACACTTTTGTTTCATGTATTGGGATGTGGATTTTCCATTTCTTACTCCTGTGCATCTATTAATTATTTAGTTAAGTTATTATTATTATTAACTTGATTGGCCACATTGGACCACTTGAGTCGTTCCACTTCACTTTGGTCAACTGTCAAAGGTTTTCACCTTGAGGTGAGGATAAATCCTCGAGTTACAATTCTGAATGTTATTCAGAAAGGTGATAATGAGAGATGGATGATGATGATGATGGGGGGTGAAAGGACGAACCCAAGACAACCATGCCCGAGGCGGGACTCGAACCCGCGATCTTTCGGTACGAGATCGCTACGGCACTACTGCCGGATCGGCCACCGGATCGGCCTATTTAGTTAAGCACTGAAGACACTACTCTAAAGTTGCTTTATTGGAATTGAAAAGTATGTAGTCATCTTTTTTTATAAATATAAGAAAATAAAAATAAAAAAAAAGCAAAGTGTGTGAAATTATTATTACTTTTTTTTTCCAAATATTAACGCTAACTTGGGGGGGGGGGGTAGGTTATTTTGCTCTGTAACTAATTCTGAAAATGTGAAGTTTTGTAAACTTATAAGCAAGTATGAATGGAAGTTTCAGGATAACTAAGAAATGTCATAAATAAAATAAAAATAATTAAAATTCAGCAAAGATGGCTTCATGTACATTTTGTTTTGTCTGGTTAAAAACTGCTATGTAATTATAAAATGTTCAATAAGTGTTTGTATGAAAAGTTTACTTCTGTGAACTTTTATAATAAATTTGTACATTTTATCAATCATAATGATAACATGCCATCACGGTTAGTTAAAGCCAAAGTTACAATTTGTACAAATTTTGTTGAGAGAAAAACAAAAAACATAAAATTGTTGATATAAATAAAAGATTTCTTTGAAAAAATCTTGATTTAATCATTGATTTACAGCATAATCAAGCTAGATTGAAGTGTTTCAAATTTATTTGAATGAAATTAACTTTTAAAATATTTATGTAAAGTTGATGTTAATACATCTGGTAAATTTGGAAAAGTCGGGGAAATTTGAAATTTTTTCAATTTATCATTATGCTGTGACACCTTTTTTATTTTTAGAGGTTGTGCGTTTGGAAGAAGAGTGGGGTGATTACCTTGTGTCCAATAAGCAGCTTGATGCAGCCATTAACCACTATATTGAAGCTGGGAAGACAATGAAAGCCCTTGATGCAGCTGTTGGTGCTCGTCAATGGAAAAAAGCTGTTCAGATAATAAAAGTAAAAATGCAAATATATTATTTTTATTGTTAGTTTCTTCGTTTTAAAACACATTGACAACCTTTTTTAACACTTCAGTTTCACAGCACTTGATTATGCATAAAATAATTTGAACTATTGAAAGAATGTATCAATTGTGACTATCCAGCACTTTTGCAATACATTTAAAATTGTTGGTGTCAACTTCTGGGAGAAAAATACAAAATTTATTATGGGGATAATAAGCATATGGAATTAAAACTGTTTTAGCTAGATAGGAATAAATAACACACTTAATAGATTTCTTGCAGCTTAAAACATAAGTGTAATAGTTTGTTATTTAAATATTTGAGGTAGAAAATTAAAATTTGAACTCTTTGCTATTGAAAAGCATGTTTGTGTTAAAATGCCAAAATGTATTCTTAGTTTGAACATGAACAACTACTTGAATGTTCTACTTGTCTAAGTGCTTCTCTCAATGACAATGGAGAATGACAACTCAGCATAGGACATCCATGACTTTGTTTGTGAAATGCATTGACACTGCAACAATGCAAAAGCAAAGATATCTTACCAGAAAAACTCATTAATTGGCTCCTTCTGATTGGGTGATTTGGATTGGGTGACATGGATGCATTGTGGTGTGTAGGGCATACTTCATTCACAATACGAGAGATATTTTCTATTAAGTCATCATATTAGATTTGATGTATTTTTTAGTTCATTCTCTTTACTCATAACTTCAAAATCCAAATTGGTTTGTGCTAATATCATAATGTTTACCACTAAAACTATCAATTCTAAATTTTATAATTTTTTCAAATCTTTTATTAAAATTGGAAATCTGTCCTAAGGATCTGAAATTAATTACAAAAGTTTATTTTCCAGATTTGAATATAGGAACAATTTCAGTTTTTTTAAAGGGTTTGTTAAATGTTCCTTCAAGAATTATTTTATAAATAACATGCAATAATGTTTTCATTCTAAATACAGAAATAGTTTTCATAATATTTATTGAAATTTTGTTTAACTCTGTTTCATATATAATTTATGAAAACATATTTTATTATTATATTATTGCAGGTCATAGATGATCCTACTACAGTTGTTAATCATTATCGACAAATTGCCCAACATTTTGCTTCCATCAAAGAATATAATACTGCTGAGAAGTTGTTTCTTCAAGCTGAAATGTATGAAGATGCCATTGACATGTACAATCAAGCAGGTGTGATAAAATAATTGTTGAATACCTTTCAACAAAGAATTCATATATAGGAATAGTCTTTAATGGAATCCATATCAAAGCTTTCTACTAAAATAGGTTAGTATCAAAATTTAAAATAAACCTTTCTTTTCAGGTGAATGGGATAAAGCACACTTTTTGGCAAGTCAATATTTAGACACTGACAGAGTGTCACAGATGTATTTGGCTCAGGCACAAAACTTGGAACAACAAGGAAAGCTAAAAGAAGCTGAAAAACTATATATATCAGTTACAGAGCCAGATGCTGCCATTTCAATGTATAAAAAAAATAGGCAGTATGATCAGGTAAATATTAGTCCTAAAAAATATTTAAACACCTTAAATTTTACCAATGAAGATAGTTGTAAATTTTATAGTTTTTGTTTTTATAAATGCAATTGACTATTGGTTGGAATCTTGGTTTTATAAAGATCTTCACAACTCAGATAAACAATTTGAGTTAAATTTAAACACCCTACACACCAGTTTTCCAATTTGCCACTTTTTTTACCTCCAGGTTGACAATTAGGCCAATTCATTTCAAGAATTTCCCTTTGAGTTTGATGATTTATTATTAATTTCACTTATTTTATTGTGAATAAGTTTTCTTTTTTTAGTTTTGCAGTAAACAATGCAGTTGGCATTTCAAGTATAGGGATTGCAGTGTTTTAAGTAACTGTACATTTTTGGATTGTATCTGACATATTAAGAAGCTTGCTGACTTTGAGCTGTGGATAGTTATTATTTCAATTTTCATCTTCAAGACAACTTTGATCATCTCTATTTTATTCGTTCAGAATACTACGATTCGTTGTAGAAGTTACAAGAGATATACAATGTTCATGTTAACAAATTATTGTATGTAATATAACAATGCAACTGAATAATGGGAGGCTGCTTCTCTATTATAGTTGGTATTTTAGAAGATTAAGTAATTTCAAACAACTATTGTTTAAAAACTATAGTACTGGGTTTGCTATTCAGTGTATGTGTGTTGTTTCTTTCCAATAGTAAGCAGATGGTCTAACTGAATATTTATTTAAATATATTGCCTACAATTAAATGTTGTGATGAATGATGAGTAACAATTTTAATATTGGAAATAAAAATATAAGATATTTTGATTAGATCTAGCTCATCTTCAAACACCAAGAATAATAAGATTGTTGATTTCCTAAACTTAGTTCATTGATACATAACACCATCCAAATAATAAAAATAAAAATTAATGTGAAAAGGATTCATTTTAAACTCTTCTTCCAGCAAAGTGTCTAGTTTTTATTTTTTGCATTTAAGGTGTCAATGCTACTATTCACGCTGCATCTGTTTACAAAATTTAAATACCAAGCTCGGATTTCCCTTAATATGCTCCGTTTGGAGGCCAGAAATAGTGATAGTTTCTTGTCTCTGGATCTACTATAGGGAATTTCATTTCATAAATTGAAAAAATATAGGTGATTTGCTAATGATTGTTATAGACAAGCTGTGTAAACAAACTATTTTCATCCAGAATATTGTGGGGTGTGTTTATTATGTGATCTAGTGGAGCTACAAAAGTATAGATCTTATCATATTATGTGTAACAATAAACTTGTACATTTTTCTGCATTTTCTCAATTTTGCCAAGCCCTTACCAGATTTCTAGATATTTGATATGGTAGATTTTGAAAAATTGAAGCTTCAAGGTGCAGATCAGACTTGGCAACAAAACCCATTCTAACTACAATCATCAAGATATTGATTCTCCCCCTCCTTTTCAATTTCTATGCCAACAACATGATAAAAAATGAAGAGCCAAATTCGATCAAGGAATACAACTGTACAGAAAACATCAACCCTAAATAATATTGTATGAAAAACAATGTAGCGATACTATATATAACAGTAATACCATATAATAGTACTATACATAAAATAGCTGAAGAACAGTGAATGAAAATATCCCATCCCAATATCCCACGGCTTTTTGGGAGAAAGGAAATAAAAAGAGTAAAAATATAAATAAATGGGTAAGTAATTGAATAAAAAAAGAAATATAATTACCTAACATGAGAAATATAATTGGACAAGTACAAGAAGACCTGTACTTGTCCAATTCTTGGAAAACAAAATCCAAAAATTCAACGAAAAAAATGGGACAAAAAAGTTTTTTTTTTTTGGAAAGGATACGAACACAGACAAATCAGAAAATATACAAAATAACAACAAAGGCAGATGTAATATATGAAAAGGTAACCAGTACCATGAGAACCAGACATCTGCAAACATAAACAGTTCAGATGAGGTACCTAACACATCTGGAGTAACAACACTAGTAGAGACCGAAATGAAGAGATTAAAAAAGGTTGAATGAAAATAACATGTGACAATATAAAGGTATATCAAAGAAAATTATTGAAGCGTGTGGAAAGAATAGAAGATAGATTACCCAAGCTAGCACTGAAATACAAACATAAAGCAGAAGAGAGCAAGGAAAATCAAAGAAAATATGGAGACAACAGAAACACCTGGTGGAATAGTCACTAGACTTACTGCACAGGAGACAGGGCACACCTAAACCCCATCTTATAGTTCCTGATGTTGATGATGAAAATGATAAATTGTAAGTTGTGAGTGTGTGAGTATTTCGTGTTACCATTTGCATCAGCTACTTTGACATTAGACCTGTAAATGTAGTGCATGTTTTATAGCTGGCAGGTAGTGTTTCTTTCTCCACTGGAACTTGAGATCCAGTGTCAACCTATATAAAAATTTGTGGGGTTTGTGGTGGAGGTACTTCTCCAGGTACCTCCACTTGTTGGGCAGCTGCGATAAGCTCTTAATCTTCCAACTGGACTTCTGATGTGAATGGTAGCTTAGTGTGTATGTGTGTAAAGGGAGAAGAGAGGGCAAGAACAAGGAAGGAAAGAATGTTCTCTGGCTTTATTGTTAAGATTGCTTGGTATAGATCAGTGAAATCATAGAAATCCACCAATCTGAGTAGCTGGCACTAGATTCTCATTGTTTCTGTTAACATATTTTCAACCAATTTTAATGTCATCTACTGAAGAGAACCAAGCCTAATGTTGCCAATCTGGCCATGAAAATGAGTGAATATGGGGTATTATGTTTAAATAAATAAGATACCATTGTAATATTTCCACATTATTGTACCAAGGTGAAATTCAAAACCAATATGTCCAAGTTCTGTATCATCAGAAGTTTGGACAATGAAAAGTTAGGATCAGCAAAGGTTAGAGACCACACAGATAAGATTTCTATGTCATCTCACAGGAGTCATATTAAGGGATTAGTAAAGAAGTTAAGGTATTAGAAAAAGGCTTAAAACAAAGATTGTAGTAGAAATCAAGAAAGGTCAGATGGTTTACTCACATTAACAGAATGAATGTTTCACAGACAGCATTGAAGTATAAACCATTAGGGCAAAGAGCCACAGGGAGACCACAAAAGAAATAGATCAGGCAAACGTAGAGGACTGAAAACCCACCAGGTCTTTTGGGAAACAGGAACAGAACTGAGTTCAGGTGACATGCCGAGCATCCTGTATGCCTACTGATCTGCCTAACAACACGATGATAGATTGAAGATATTTTTTTGAACAGTGTCAACTGATTGCTTTTAATTATCCTGAAGCAACTTATTCCAAAAATTAAATTCATTAAAAATAGATCTCTCTTTACAATTAAATTATTATTATTATTATTATTATTATTATTATTATTATTATTATTATTATTATTATTATTGTAATTGTAGTTGTATAAAGGGGAAAATTGCAAACATGCAATTTCGAAAATTTCATATTTTTTTAAAATCAGGCTTGCCCAATTTTCTCACAAAAAAAAAACAACCAAAAATGTGAATTGCGTTATAATCTCAATGTAATTGTTTGTTATATAATTTGTTCTGTACTATGTATAGAAAAAAGTTAAAATTATTGGAATGTATACAGAGCTAAAAAAGCTAAAACAAAAGAATCGTGAAATATGTTTCTCCAAAAATTGGCACATATGTATTTAACATTTACAGTTCATAAACTTCATGATATTTATTAGGGAAAAGAGCCTCAGATTATAACTCAGTTAATGTGACTTTTCTATTTGATGTCAGTAATCTTTATTGTTAGCTGAACAATCATTAAGTAATTTCATATTGCAAAATTTTGTTTTAGTTGTCTCATGAGTACTTGGATATTGTAAGTTTTAATTGTAAACCCACCAGAAAAGCAAAAAAAGAGTAGATATAAAATCATTAACTTCATGTTTGATATACATTTATACATTCTATAATCTTATGTGGTTATCCTTTCGAATTTCACTGCATGTTGCGGTTATAAGAATGTTGAACTTTCATGGACTGTGTTTCTTTCTTTTGTAGATGATGCGATTAGTTAGTCAGTATCATCCCGACTTGCTACAGACTACTCATTTACGTCTTGCTCAAGAAATGGAAGCAGAAGGCAATTTTAAAGCAGCTGAACAACATTTCTTAAATGCAGAGGAATGGAAGAGTGCAATCAATATGTACAGAGCTGCTGATATGTGGGAGGATGCTTACAGGGTATTTATATCCAGCGTATAATGTTGAAACATTAAATTTCTTGACTTTCTATACTATAAATGAGATTACAATATTTCAAATATTTGTAATCATATTTGTATTAAATTTAATTGAGAAATATGAAATAATAAATTAGAAAAAATAATAATTAGTATTAATAATAGTTATAATTAGTAGAACATATTCAGTAAAGCAAATCAATTACGATGTAAACTCTTTGTAATGAAACTCAAGGGACTGAGTACTTTCTTTTGTCATAAAGGATTTGTGTTATACATATAGAGAGTATCAATGTTTAGGTTATATGGATAACCACCCAAATTAGTGAATTTCTGTTTTAGGGAATTAATCATTATAAGGAAGTTTATTGTAGGGAGCTAACACTGTGGGTATTCATTTATGTAAGCATGTGTTATTTCTGTTGTATATAGGTTGCAAAAAGTCATGGCGGTGCTCAAGCTGCAAATCAAGTAGCATATCTTTGGGCAAAAAGCTTGGGAGGAGAATCTGCAGTAAAATTACTTTCTAAATTTAATCTTTTAGAAATTAGCATAGATTATGCTTGTGAGAATTACCAAGTAAGTTAGAACTTTGGAATTTTTAGTAAAATTTTGTGGTTCTGTTGTTTTAGAAATAATAATGTGATTCTAATTTGTTCATGTCAACATTTTGTATCGAGTTTGTGAAAATAAGAATGTAGCTTTATGTTGGGTGATATGTCAAGGCCAACTGCCCTTCTTTGCATTGTGAGTGAGTGGGTTGAAATTAAGTGTGCCAAGTCTTGTACTGAAATAAGGTAGCAGGTCTCACCTTTTTAAGAGTTGTTATGAATTTGTTTTTGCCTCTCTTTGTTGTCTTGACATCAAGTTCATCATAAGCTGTTCATGAAGTCAATGAAAGCAATAATAAAATGTCATGGTCCACATATTAAAGATGTTTACGTTACAGTTTGTCAATTTTAGAAAACATCATTACATAATTTTATGCAGAGCCATATATTTCCATTATGATAAAGTTGGAATTTTCAATTAAAAATATCTTCAATGTATTTTTATAATAAAATTGAGGGCTGAATTATATGTTTTCCTCACTCACCAGTTTGAATTTGCCTTTGATCTGGCACGGTCAGCTATGAAATCTAAAATGCCAGACATTCATTACAAATATGCCATGGCTTTGGAAGATGATGGAAAATTCAAGGAAGCTGAGGAACAATTTATACTAGCTGGAAAACCAAGAGAAGCAGTACTTATGTAAGTGCTATTTTACTTCATAAATAAAGTAATAAAAATAAAAAACTACACAAAATTATCTTAGAACGTACATTTAATAAAAAGGCAGTTTTAATTTTTAGAAAAGTTGATTTTCTAATTAAGATTAATTTTCATTACATTCATTAAAACCTCAAATTCATTTATCATATTTATTATATTTATTCATATATAGAACTGAATATTATAATCAGAAAGAGAAATTAAAAGGTGAGTCTTGTAAATGTACTACCATAATTCTCTGTAAGTTGTCGGTTCTATTATACAGGGTCTTTAGGTTAACTCGCAACCATTGTCTGAGAGCACATGTTCTTGTTTTGGCAATTTGGCAACCGCACGTTTTTGCCACCTTTTATGACACCTGTGCCTCATATGTCGAGACAGCAGAGGATGTCAGGTCATGAGCTGCAGTGTTTTTCCAATTCAAGAGTCTAGACGGGCAGGTATGTGGCTCACGCGCCAGAAGCATTTCACGCTGCACAGAGTGGGCGGGGTGGGGAGGGGTGAGCAAAGGCATGAGCAAGATACAAAACATTTTTTTAAGTGATTCTATCCAGTATGCTTAAGAAACAAAACTGTAGTACTGAAGATGTGGAGGGAAGTTATGACTGTTCATCAATTTATTACCATCGATGTAACAATAATTATTATTTAATGAAAGTCGGCTCAGAGAGAAATCAGAAAGATATCTCATGAAACATTACTCCGAAGCTCTTCATTATTTATAACAATGTATTATTATTATTATTGCATATGATTATTAAGTAAATAAGAAAGCATTAATAAAATTATTAAAAATACCAATAAAACATAAATCAGTAGTTAATTAATAATTATTGAAAATGATTAATAATAAATAACAAAATATAATTTTCTTAAAATGACAAAAACCTGACCGTCCAGTAAATGCTCAAAGTGCCATTTGGCAAGAGATAGGCGTTTATACTTTTCAGTGTGGTGGCTGCAGTGTGTTGAAGACAGGACAGAATAAGTGCTTTCTCTTTCTTCCAACTAAAATTAGCCACATTCTCTCACTCCAAATCTGAGGGCACATGGCTGTGGGTCACTAAAAGTGAAAGAGATGCCAAAGGTATTTTATGCGTTGCCAAAACAAGATGGTGTTCCCAGACATGGGTTGTGAGTTAAGCTAAAGACTCTGTATTAGGTGAGCTATTACAGTGCTGCAATAATCCCACTAATTAATCATGTACATCTACATTTTCTTTCTACTATAATTCCAAACTAGTCATTTAATCTGTAGACTCCTTTTTTATCTATGAGGGTTGGGGCAGAGGTGATGGCAATTATTTTTTTCTAAAAGAAATATTATCGGATTACATAATTTTATGTCGTGCAAAAAAAGTACAAACTTTTGTGTTCACAACAGCAGATGGTTCTTTGAGTGTCTTTATTAGCACAGAGAACAATGTGAAACTAGTTGTCTGACTACTGCTGTGCAAGATAACTTTCGAGCAACATTCCTCATCAAGATAGCTGTTTCCCATTGAAGAAACGCCTGTCAAAGGAAATCGGAGGAATCTGTTGAGAATAATGCCCTCCCATAATGGACAGTCATGAGACAGACCTGAAACCATACTGTCTGTCAGTTAGATTTCCACCAGAGCAAATACGTTCAGCAAATGTGATTTCAGTAACTTTTTGAAAAACTTTTTATTCTTGTCAACTGTAAAAAGGGTCTTGGGAGATGGCAGTAGATGCGATCTGCCCTCACTCTTCTCTACAAGAACCAGTTGCTGCTTCTTCCACCACTGAGGGATGTTTCCCTATTTTAGTGTGGCATTATCATCATCATCATCATCATCATCATCATCATCATCAAGAACTGCTGGATGAAAGGCCGGGGGGTGGGGCCTGTTCATGATTAAGCAGTAGACCTGAAATTCTTCAGTCTTCCAGGTGTACCTGCATGATCCTTCTTCTTTCTTGGTCTTCCTGTATCTCTGTCCAAGTGGCTTATATTTTAGGGCAGCCTATGAGAATTTTCCTTCTTTCATTCTTTTAATATGTTTCAGCCATTTTTTCTGGTTCTTTTTAACTTCCTCTGTTACGTTTGTTGTCTTTGATCTTTGCCTTGTGACTTTATTTCTCTGTCAATCCAGTCTGTACAGCCAAGGAGGTGTCATTGGAACCTCATTTGAGCTGCTTCCAGTCTTTGGTTGTGTCTTTGCTTTAGAATTCAGGTTTCGGGCCCATATAATAGGATTTCTTTGGCTGTCATGTATAATCTTAATTTGGCTTGTTGTGTCATCCCAAAATGTCTTTTAATTATTCCATTTATTCTATTATATTTCAAAATTTTGTTTTGGAGGTCCTGTGAGTTTAGTCCAATGTCATTGCCTAAATACTTGAATGTTGTAACTTGCTCTATTCTTTCTCCTTCAATGACTATCTTCACTCATCTTAGTCCCTTTCCTTGGAATGCCATTGTTATTGTTGTTGTTTTGGTTGAGATTTTCATGTCATAGGTCTTTGGTATTTTATGCAGTTCATGCATTACTATTTGGAGTTCATCTTCTGATGCAGCCAAAATTATTTGGTCATCTGCAAACAGGACTGTTTGTATAGTTTAGTTTTTGTTAAGTTGCATACCTTGATATACTTACTTTTTCCATTCTTTGATGAGACTGTTGGCATAAATATTGTAAAGGTTGGGTGTTTGGTCGGTGGTTTGTGAAGTGATTTTGTGATGGTCCCATTATTTGTTTTTATGGCAATTTTTGAGTCTGTGTAGAGTTTTTATTCTATTGATGATTTTTTCTGGCATTCCTTCTAATATTTTCCACAGTTTAACCCTGTTCACTATATCATATGCCTTTTTAAAGTCTATGAATATCATATATGTTGGTAAGATTTTTTAATTTCTTCATTTCTGGGGATATACAGGCTCAATTCACACAATTCAGGCTCGATTCACACGTTATTTTTCTGCTGTTTTGAGGACTTCTGCTGAAATGATATCGGGCCTTAAAGCTTTCCAGTTTTGCAAGACGTAGTCTGCTTCTCTGAGTTTTTGTTCTTCGAAGACAGGGTGTCTACCATAAGGTCAAAACAGACATCACAATGCATCATCAATGTGTCCACAAATCACTTAAAATCAACAATAGGGATCGATTTTCTCAGATGTCCACTTCCCTAAGGATTTTGATCACCATTTCGTAATAATGATCCTGTGGAGCTCAGTCTACTTTGCCAATAAGAGCCTTACAGCACTTGAATTTGCACTTGGTATTATGGTCGATAACAATGTCTTCTTGGCCGTTTTGTGTTGCACAGACAGCAGTGCAGCTACAGGTTTCAGTCTCTGGACCTATCATTGGGGCCTGAAGCAATTTCTCTTCAGCTTCACTATCTCTTCAGTCAATCAGCATGACAATGGTTTGCTGCACCGGGGTGCATGGCTCATATAGTGATTGATCTTGCAATGCTTTAATAAAGCCTTGTGCAGAACAATCTTCTTTGCAAGAAGCATTGTTCGCTCACCACTCCCTCACTACCCTACTCGGGTAGTGTTGAGTTATTCTTGCTATTCATGTGTCGCAGTTTTCTATTAATGTGGGCTGGCTTAGCTATTGGACCTTCCAATTCATTTTGATTTTCAGCTGGCTGAGGCGCCCCCCTGTCCACAGTCAGAATGGGATGTATTAACGATCTCTGTCTGCATAGTCCTCTTATCACTCACCAGTTCTTTACTCTTGGCTATAAGCTCTCCAGATGCCCGAATAATAACTGGAATCATTTCCATTTTGGGATCTTCTGAAGGTGGACATCGAATCATTGTTCAAAATTAACTGCTCTTGTCTGGCCGCATTCTTTAATAAATGCCTCTTGGTATGGACCACTTGCTATTCTATTGTGCTATGGCATTGAAGCCACCAACCACCAGGGTGTTTCCGTCTGTCTCTTGTATTGTATCTTCAAGATATGACCCACTTCGTTGGGAGTCAGATGTGCTCATAAAAGTGATTGATCCACTATTATTCTACTAGGATCTTAGTAGTGTTAGTGATCCATATAGTTTCAGTGTATCAGAGTACCATCCTGGGCTGGCCTGTTTTCGACATGGTTTGTTGTTCCTTATTCCAGTGATCCCTTGCTCAATTATAAGCTTTTTGTATATTTGAAATTTGTGAATGAATTTTCACTCAAATCTTTTACATTTTGTCAATTTTAAAAAAAAAAAAAAAAAAAAATTGTGCACTACTATAGGATATATTTGGTATATTTAATATATCTCAATTTGAAAAGGTATGTCCACAATCAAGATTGGCCCAATGCACAACGTGTTGCTGAAAAGCATGAACCTGAATCTGTTACTGAAGTACTTCAGGGTGAAGCAAAGGAAGCTTTCAAGAGAGAAAATTACCAACGTTTTGAATCTCTTCTGCTGCGTGCACAAAAGGCAGACTTAATTATTAAACAATACAGGGTAAAAGTTTTATTTTTTCCTTCACTGTGCTGATGAGAAATTTCACTGTAGTTATGAATCCATGTTATTGATTAAATACATTGTTATTATTATTATGTCACAGTGAGTAATTTCAGGTAGAAAAATCACAATCATCTTCTCAATTAGACGAACAAGTGTTTCTTAAGCCTTTTGCCAAGCTTCATTACTGCTCTGCAGTTTCTTGATAATTCCTCTTCTAGAAGATTGTGCTTAAAAAGGACTGAGGATATTTTTAAGCATTGCAGAAGAGAAATTCTTTTTTCAGATATGAGCTATGAGAAAAAAAAAAAAAGGAGTATGAATTGGTGGATTTTGGGGATTTTGGGGGTGTGAATTGCTTTAGCTTTGTATCATTCACCACCTTGCGATCACGTCTTGATGTTGCAAGCCTTGCAGTGTAATCACTGTTAGTAAATTATTCAAATGACCTCCAGAGTGTGCAACAAATAATGCTTAAAGTCTTGGATGTGCACATCCAGTTCCGAAATGAATTATTCACCATATTCCAAATTATTTATGAAGAATATACAAGTGTATTTCTTTACCTGAAATGACTCACCTTATATAACACATATTTGATTGTATGTCTTGTATCACTTGTAGGATGCAGGCATGTGGGTTGATGCATTACGTGTGTGTAAAGAATTTTTACCTTCTCACCTAACTACTCTTCAAGCTGACTACGAAAGAGAAGTTGGTGTCAAAGGCTCTCATGATGCAAGCACTTTATTGACAGCTGCTAATAATTGGGAACAGAGTGGTGATTACAAAGCTGCTATTGATTGTTTAATAAAGGTAATTGATGATGAACATAGAATTGAAAAGTATTGATTTCAATACCAAGGTTTTACATTTCTGACTTCCTTAAATTACTGCAAGGTGACAAATGCAAACACAAATGATTCTTCACTTCTGATCAAAGCCTGGACTCAAGCTGCAGATTTGACCAATAGATATTTAGAAGGCGCTGAAGCTGTGGAGGTTGTGAAAATTTTGGGTAAGTTTTTATTTTTTTTGCTTACAACACACTTATAAATAACGTGATTTAACTCACTGTTTCAGAAATGCAAATTATAATTATTCACTTATGTTGTTAGTTTAAAAGAAGAATATACAAAGCTTTGTAAATAGAAATTTGTTTCTTAGAGAATTGCTTTTGATATTTTAAATTTCCTAAAAATTACTTAGGTCCCCGATTGGCAGAAGTGGGCCAGCATACAGCTGCTGCTCAATTGTATATAGGGGCAGATATGATTAAAGAAGCAATTGATATTTTCATTGAAGCTGAAGAATGGGGAAAAGCAAAGAAAGTTGCTCAAGAACTAGAACCAAGGTATAGTTTTGATTGTTAATTAATATTATGATATTGTAGAGTTGGTAAGTTTTACTTGGAATTTACTAAAGAGTTGGTAAGCGAATTTACACCTTTTCCTTTTATAAAGACTAACCATTTTCTTACATTTTGTTTTACAAAGTCACTGGCACATATGGCAACCTCATTATGAGATTGTTATTCAATGCTGAGATGCACAATAGGTGTGAATGAAAGTGTGGTAACACCTTCAGACCGTCAGTAAATATGATACCGAGACAAATGTCATTGGTTGGGATGCTAGGAAAATGACATTAATTTAGCCAATACACATTTTTCTAATTGTACTAATAATGATATTACAATTAATAATTATTCCCAGAACTAACATTAGTTCTACTATTATTCTAATATTAACTATTACTACCCTGATATTAAATATTTACATAATTTATAATGGGGTATCTAATCCTAGTTTACACTTATTAATTTCGAAGCCTCATCATCTTATAATCAAACAAATATAATTTATTTATTTCACCAAAACCAATTATAATTTCATGAAAATATTTATTTACTTGTAACCAACAATATTCACTTGTATTTCATGTCTAACCGCAGCAGCTGGCATGCATTTTGCCAATACTATAAGAAATCCTATATCCAAATTCATCTAATTGTATAATATTAATTACTACATAAATATATCCTCTAGGTAATCAATATATATGTGTGTGTGTGTGTGTGTACACATACACATATTAACACACATACACACACATACATATGGAAAAGAACAAACAGGAACAAAGAAAAATGAATACAATTAAATAGAAATCAATGAACAGAATTAGGGATGACTCTTATAACCAGAGAAGCAACAGAAAAACACAAAAAGAATACAATAGAGGGAACTAGATCAGTGCAAAGCCATCTACATTAGGACAGAAAACAGCATTGCTAGGTAGAGTCAACACCAACAATAAAGAACATTACAAAATTATTACAAGACACCGGAAGGTGCACAATCTCTTGTGAACAGATAAAAATAAGATACAATTCCAACAAACCTTTTAAGATTGGAGTGGATTTTATGAAGTTAGAAGAAACTCAACAAGATCTTGGCTTTTGGCCTCAAGAACTGATAATTCGATCATTTCAATTTCGCTTCCTTCCCAGAGAAGACAGAACAACACACTCACAGAACACTCAACAGTAAAACACTTCAACACCAAAAACAATATTCCTACTAAAACCTTGCTAAGAGTAGGAACATGGAACGTTATAGGGCTAATACACAAAGAAAACTATGAACTATTAAACTATGAACTAAAAAATGGGAACCTAGATATCACTGTCATCTCAGAAACAAAAAAAGAAGAATAAAGGCACAAAAGAACTAGAGGACCATATTGTAATACATTCGGGTGTTAGTAGGAAAAGAACACGCAGCAGCAGAAGTAGCGTTGATAATTAATAAAAAATGGAAAGAGAACATAGAAGAATACAACTGAATTTCCCCAAGATTGTTTACAATGGAAATGAAAGCAAACCATAAATTAAATACAAAGGTGTATATGTACCAGTTGAAGGATACAGAAGAATCTGCCTGTTTCTACACAGAATTACAACAATTGGTAGACCAAATAAGCCACAAGGAGTTTCTCATTATCTCAGAAGATATCAACGCCAGAGTGGCCAAAAAAGAAGTCCCCCCCTTGCCAAGGGCCGTAAGGTGAAAACACTCTAAAGGAAAGTCGGAAAATAGTACCAAACTTTTGCTTATTCAATAAACTGATAATAACTAATAGTTTCTTCAAACACAAAGATCAACTTAAATATACTTGGGAAGCAAGAGGTACAAAATATATCCTAGATTACGTAATAGTTAGCAGAAACCTATTAAATTATGTCAAGAACATGAAAGTATATGGAGGGAGTGAGATAGACACAGACCAGTATTTAGTAGAAAGAAAAACTAAATTATACATACAAAGCACAAAACAAAGAACAATTGAATTATTTCACAAATAAAATAGGAGATGAGATCATGTAAACACTGTATGAAAGATTAGGAGGAAAATTACAAATAGTAGAGAAACAAAATATCAATACATTTTAGACCTCACTTAATGCTTGAAGCAGGACAAGAGGGTGTAGGTTACAATCCAGTCAAGAAAAAAAATGGCTGAGAACATGGCACAATGACTTGAAAGAAATAGTAAATGAAAAGAAACATGCGTATAGATCTTACCTTCAGAAGATAATAGTGAAACATTACATTGAATGTACAAAACTAAGAGCCGAAGTCACACATACAAGCAGAATACACAACCAAGACTAGAGAAAATTTATCTAAATTATAGAAAGAGACATCCTGGCTACCAACGAATAGGATTCAAAATTTTGAAAATGCTGCACATGAACGTAAAAGACAAAATCACACTTGACTGCATCCCTGAAGATAACTGGATAAACAATACTCCACCTTATGAAACAATCTAGATCCTAGAACAGAGTTAGAAGAAATAGATGACAATAGTGAGAATAATGATATGGACACCCCTTTGAATTTGAAGAACTAGAGGCAATATTAAAAAAATAGGAAAAGCCTCGGATCAGATGAAATCAACTTAGAACTTAAAAAATATGGAAGAAACAAAGTAAGAGAGGAAAATTCCAATAGAATGGCAAGAGGGTTTGGTCATGAATAAGGGCTGAAGGGCTCTTAGGCTGTGACAACTATGGGGGCATCACACTATTGTCAACAGCATCAAAACTTTATACAAACATGTTGAGAAACATATTCAATGTAATAGCTGAGACTTTAATGGGAGAACAGTGTGAGCTCCAAAAGGAAAGGAGCACTAAAGATGCCATCTTCACATTACAGATGATAATAGACAAAGGGCGAGACAGAAACTTACTAACATTTATAATAATCATAGATTATGAAAAGGCCTATGACAGAGTAAACAGAACCTCGGGGAAATACTGAAAGAGGAGAAAATCCCAAATTAATTACTCAATGTGATCCAGAGTTTATATGAAAACTCCAACATTAAAATAATGTTAAGAGACGGGAGAAAGTCTGCAGCAATAACAACCAGCAGCGGCTTAAGTCAAGAATGTGGTCTGTCCCTTACTCTCTTTAACATATATATCAGCCTAGTGAGAAACTGGAGGAAGAAAATTAAACAGGATATCCAAATCAGGAAAGACAAAAGATAGATACAATCTTATACGCTGACGATCAAACAATCATAACAGATTCTGAAGATCATCTACAAAGAGCAGCTTTTTTTTGAACTGACTGAAGAGATCCAGAAATTTTCTATGAAAATATCAGTTCAAAAACAAATGTTATGGCACTGCAAGGAATAAACAGAAGAGAGCCAAAATTGTAATAATTGGAGAAATATTGGAACAAATTTTTATACCTTGGAAATATCACAAGTGTATTTAACTACACCCAGAAGGATTTAGAAAATAAATTGTATAAATACAACAGAATCTGTGTACATTAAAGAACACTTTGGCAGAGGCATAAACGCAAAAACAAAACAAAAAATTCACAATATAACTGCTAAACATATAGCAAGACCTGGATAATGAAAGAAAGACCAACAAAAATACAAGCAACACATATGAGATTTCTGAGACACCTAGGAGTTACGACCGAAACAAAGACATTAGAAAGAAACTAAAGGCTTAGTAGAGAAAACTCAAAGAAAATGGCAAGGTCACCTTAAAAGAATGAACAATAACAGATGGCAAAAACTAATATGGAAATATAAACCAGCAAGGAACAGAGACGTTGAAACTGTATAAATAAGAACACAGTCTGTTAAGTCTAAACACCTAAAGTCTATAGTTCATGATGATATGTTTATAAATGGATGTTGGTTTGTTCAAACACAATAAACACCAATACCATATGACCAATCTCCATAAAGTTGGCACATCTACTTGTTTTTGCATGGAGAACGTTAAGCTGTTCATTTTGTTGTAACTCCACTAGATGGCGCTGCAGCACAATACGGCACTACAGTTAAATGGAATTCCCGTGTGAAATGCCGTGTGACGCGAGTCGAGGCCGAGGAGAACAGGGCAAGTGGGCGGAGCTGGAGAGAGAGAGGGAGAGACAGACAGAGAGCGAGAGAGAAAGAGAAATCAAAATCATTTGCTGGGTTCTGCTAGTATAGTATATACAGAAGAACAGTTCTTGACATCAAAAATTTATGCTCCATAACGCAACACAAAAATTGCAAGTATTTAATGATGGCTGGCCTCTACCTTGGAGTTTTACTTTCACATGTCACCTGTTGTAAGCAGTGATACAATTCAGACAGTATGCACAGTATGAAAATTGGCGGAATAGTGAAACAGATATTAGCATTTTTGTGTCAAAATCAAAACTATTTGTTTTTGGATTTTTCTTGAGATCTTACCTTGCTTCATATCTTAGGAAACTATAGATATTTCACATAGCCGGAGGCTGTAGTTTTTTTAAAAATTGGTAATATATATTCTGTATGCAGACAAAATGCATATTATGTATGTACATTGGAAATGCAATGCATATTTTAATGTAATGCATATTTTATACTTTGAGTTAAACATTCTGTAGCATATCATTCTCTCATTAATGCTTAAGATCAACTGTAAGTTTTATATTTCATAGATATGAATCTTATGTTGAGAACCGATATAAAGAATCATTAAGAAGAGAAGGAAGAGCAGATCAGTTGGCTGATGTTGATATAATTGGGGCTCTTGATCTTTTATCAGAACAAGGACAGTGGATGAAGTGTTTGGATACAGCTCGTCAACATGGCCCTAATGTACTTCATAAATATGTAGCTCTTTATGCTACACAATTAATAAAGGTAAGTAATTTGTAAAAATGTCCTAATAATGTAGGACTACAATTATTCCTCATACTTGGAAATAGATAAAGATAAATTTATTTAAACTTCAATTGGGTATAATCTGGTGGCTGCTAATTACATCATTAAGATAATATAACTAACATGCAAATTATATAATAGTAATAATAATAATAATAATAATAATAATAATAATAATAATAATAATAATAATAATAATGGTACAATAATCGTAGTAACAATAGTAACTGCTAATAAGACTTACAATAATAATATAAAAACTGATTCATAAAACATTAAATTACCTGAAGAAAAAGAATCTTCTATAATCTAACTCCGCACTGAATGTTTGTTCAATTAAGACCTCACTGCACTGCATTTCACTTCACTATGACCCTTAAATCACTCCCTTAATTATTTAACTGTTCCACACTACAAGACACCTCACTGCACAATATATCACTTATAACCTACTTAGACAAAGGTTTATGTGTTGATGGCTTAGAGCGAAGTCGCTCGCCCGTCATCAATGAGGTCCGAGTTCGATTCCCGGACAATTGCATGTGAAATTTGTTCCGACATGACGAGTTTGGTTGCTTCACAAGGGCTATTCAAACCCCTGTGAAGTGTCATACCCGTATCCTTTCCAATTCTGGCCGTTGGGTAGTGACGCAGGAGCGCGTTATGGAGGCGCGTACGCGGAGTGACGCTCTTGACAACTGAGATGAGACGTGACGGACTCAATTAATGGAGGATTACTCCAAATAGCGCGAACCGCTCAACGCCTCCCAAGGGGTTTGGAGACGCGTTGCGTCTAAGTAGACACACACAAAAAAGTGTCTCTCATTTACTTAGTAATACCCTAAATTAACTTCCTAAATTGTTGTACACTACGAGGAAAGAGTTCAAAGGTTTTTCCAGGCAATCTATTCCATTCCGTTATCGTTCAATTTGTGATAGAAAATTTCCCGACATCCGTTCTCTGCGGTCTTAAATTTATTTTGTGCCTGTGATCCCCCCTACTCATGTACGTAGGAATATATAGCCGCCGATTAATTTCTTTTCAATCTTGATCACCACTATAAGCTTTATACAAAGCGCAGTGTGTTTATCAAGCGAATTAGTGTTGTTTTCGAGTGAATTCCATTTCTTGTCTCTCAAAGTAAATTTAGCTGCCTTACACTGAATCCCTTCCAAATTTCTAATCTGCATAATTTTGTGCGGGCCCCAACAAATTGTTCCATATTCCATTACCGGGCAAACAAGCGATAAATAAGCAATTTAATTCGCGTTTGTCGTACTCTTTTTTAAGATTCACATTACAAAGTGAAGAGATCTCCAGGCTCTAGGTGACTTTTCCACATTAATTTACTATAGAAATGGATTCCTACGTATTTGTAGGAGGAAACGGGTATAATGTCGTTATTTAAATGGTAATTTGTTTCTTTGTAATTATGACCCGTGCCAAAAATGGATTTGCTTTTAGAGGTCTTTCCATTATTTTCCGCCCAGTAATATAACGCATCAAGATCGCGTTCCAGCACTTCTTAATCTTCTTTCGAATTCGTACTACGATATATTATGCAAACGTCTGCAAATTGCCGAACATTTGAGATTAAGCACGCTGGCAGATCATTGACGAACGCTAGAAATAGATGAGGTCCAATGACACTCCCTTGTGGTATTCCTGACGTAACACATGACCCGGAAGATAACTCTAACCCAATGCGGACTTTCTGTTTCCTGTCTCGCAGAAACCCGCAAATCCATGCAAATACCCTGGAATCGATGCCTGAATTCATTAATTTCTGTACAAGCCGATGGTGGGGAACGACATCAAACACTTTGGCAAAATAACTATTGCGTCTACTCTCTTGCCCGCGTTAATTTCATGTGCAAGATCCTAAAATAGCGTGGCTTCATGACTTTCGCATGAGTAACCTCTCCTGAACCCGTGTTGGCCATCTCAGAGCCATTATTTGATTTCCCATTCTTGCTTAATGTAACTCGCAACTAGATGCTCCATAAGTTTGCAGTCCACTAACGCAAGACTTACTGGCCTATAATTACTTAATATAGTTTTGTCACCGCTTTTAAAAAAATGGTTCGACAAAAGCTAATTTCCAATCTTCAGGTACTTGGGAATTGTTCATGGATACATGAAATATTCTAATTAGGTACGGTAATATTGCCTCTTCTTTTAGCTTAATTACATCCGTAGAAATGTCGTCTGGACCCCTTGACTTATCATTTTTCATAGATTTTATTTTATTCCGTTGAACGTTTACTCCAATATTAAACTGATTTGTAATAGAAGATCCTTGAATCAGCGGATGGTTCGTATTGGTTTTGAAAACCGAACTGAAATACTTATTAAACACATTGGCTTTTGCCCGATTGTCAGTAATGAGCATGTTTCCATTTTCACGGACTGGGATATCCTCTACGAACCTACGATATCTTCCCTTCCTTCTACGAACATATGTGTAAAATACCGTGCAGTTATTGCCTTTCCCATCTAGAATATTATTTAAATACGCGTCCTGAGCAATTTGCTTTTGTCACTCCAATTCTTTTGAACGATTTCGAAAAATATGCATATGCTCGCCTCTGTGTTTTCCATTTTTAAATGCTTTTCTCGTTATCCTCTTCATTCGCCTAATTTTTGCATTGTGAAATTGTGGATCCGGAATTATTTTTTTTAATTTTGCACGGAATAAACTTTTCACATTTAAACATACCTCCCTCTATTCTCAGAAAGCGGTTATATTGTTTCCTAAAAAATCCTTGAAGCTCGTCTACATTTGCTTTCTTGTATTGCCGAACATATTTTCTTATCGTAATGCCTTTCCTTGAAATATTTTCGTCAAGTTATTAAGTCAAGAAGAACCTGTTTGTGATCGCTAATTCCCCACAACACCTTCACAAGATATGAAAAGTTCTTTCGGCCTAATTAAGTAGACATCCAAAATCGCATCCTGCGTTATATGTTTCGTCGCACCATTGTCAATTCACGAATTGTTCACATCCACTTCCATTGAACAAGTCTCACTAAAATTTGTCAACAGTGATACATTCGTAATCACAGTTTTGTTTACATCCTTCTCGGTTGCATTTTTAGACGGTCCGCAATCAGTATCAGCAATCCATTTCTTGCAATGTTTGATCCAATGGTCTGTCACCTTGCAATAATGACACACACTTTTATTTAGTTTCTTTACCTTCTGAACTTGATATTGTTACTAATGCTTCTTGTTAGACTTGTTTTCTACTTTTTGTGAACTTTCTTTCAAACATGCACAGCTCTTCATTCAATTCATCAAACGTTTTATTGTTATCTTTAGTTAATAACATCCAACTTGATTTGAATGAATCAAAACTTGCCGGCAAAATATGTAACACTTTACCTACTAATATCAAAACTAGTGAAACATTTTCTTCTTTCACCGAAAGCCCATTATTCAGCTCGTTTCACAAACCTGTCAACTTTGCAATATGTGTTGAAATGTTCTCTCCATGGGTCCAAGTGAATGCAAAGAAATCCGTACATATTTTGAACAGCTGATCCTTGGAAACCGCTTCGAAATTTTGCTTTAATGCCTCCCAGGTATCATGTGCCGTTTCCTTGTCCATGATTTTCCGATAAATGTCTGTCACTGCACCTGCAATCATAGACTTGGCATGGCTTTTCGATACAAATCAGACTTCACTTTGGGATCTCTTTTTCACCTCAGCTTCATCAGCATTTGCTGCCAATTCCTTCGGTTTTACTAGCTTACCGTCGATTGCATCTTAAGCTTCTTTGTGGTAATCCAGCAAATTTCGTATCAAACGTTTCTACATCGGCCAGTCGGCTTCACTGTTTAGGCACTTAATATGCTTCACTAAATCCATATTTACTCGGAATAGTTTTTGTGTCAATTACGATTCTAAAAAGATATCTTCAAGTGTCTATTTGACTTCAGACGCGCATCTGTGCCCATAACCTGATAAATTTTACAACTTGAAAGAATTCATAGACCTAATTTGTACACACTGTTTATTAGGGGCAAAATAATACTTACACTTGTTTACAGAAGAGAAGCATTCATACTTCTGTCATTTGCAAAAAACTTGCAACTTTTACGTGAAGTGTCTACCAATTTCATGACTGTTAATTTTCTTTTAACACTATACTAATCATTACTTTAACAGAAGCAATCGTGCTTGTTGCGATGTGCTAGAGTCGAATTTAAGTGACCAGTAGAAGTCAAAGCCAGAAAACAAGCGGGAGGTGTAAAATATACGTGACTCGGTCGCGCGGCATAAAATTATGTAAGTAATGATTCATTGTAGACTTTAACTTGGTTTTAATTAATTTGAATTGTTTACATTTTTATTATATTTTGTATTTTGGAAAGTATATTTCCGTCATTCGATGGAGGTGCAACCTCTAGTCTATTGGGGCACCAGCCGCCACTGGTTGAATGTGGTGCTTGAGCCTAAGGCCTATGTTGGTGGTAACCTATATAGAGGTCCCTTGCTGAATAGGTTGAAGGTGAGGAATTGGACAAAGAACTACTCCAGAGTAGAAATATGAGACCTACCCTAGATTAAAAGATGTTTGCCAGTCAAAGACTATACATATTCAGCAGTGGAAAATTCACACCAGAACAACTTACTGACATTCATAAAAATGCAGAGTATGTTTTTCGATCGAACTATCCACATGAGGAACAAACCATCCAATATCCCTGAAAGTGAAGGTTCATATGTTCTCAATGAATCTCACGATAAGGACCAGGTGCGAAATCTCCTTCGACGCGAGTTAAAAATAATTCGTCTACTTCCATCAGAATCTCATGCACAGTTCAGAAAATACGAAAATGATAAAGCTAAGGGAGTGGAAGAGTCAGCGAATTCTGTCTTAAATGAGGTTGTAAAGACCTCAGGTAGAGATCTATATATTACTGAAATCTATCAAATCGTGTATGCAACTGGATTTCTGGTATCTCAGATAATTTTGGAGCCATCTAAGAACACCGACGGCCGACAGCAAGAGTGAACTTCTCCGTACCCCGAGGGGCGAAAAGAAGTATGAAAGGGATAGCCAGACACTCGGCGTGAGGTATCACTCTTAGCCGCGGCATTGTCTAAATTTACGCACACCTGTAAAGTTCAACGAAAAATACTCCATGTTGAAATATCAAATTCCAAACGGTACAATGCCAATAGTAGCTGAGAAGCTAAGAAAGAAAATCCAAGCACGGACTCAACGGATTAGACACAAACGTAGCGGAGATTTCTGTGTGCAGAATCAGTTGTTTGAAACAGACACGAAGAGGTTCTATCGCAATCTTGACCAAAAAACGAAGGGCTATGCTGTCCCTCCCTTAAAGAAGACATCTAAACATTTTGGGCAGGAATCTGGAAAGAAAATTAGTACCTCAGCAAAGACTCATTTTGGCTTCAATCAGAAGTTAATACCGCCGATGAACTTGTGGAAAATGTGGATCATGTTCACGAATTCTAGGAAGAGGGCATTTTCCAAGCTATTTAGAACATAGGGCCCGTCGAGGTGGGTCGGTCCACGACATTGACGGGGGGATGCAGGAAGGGCTCTCAAGTATTGCTTTCTTTCACCAGTCATCTTCATCTTCCCCATCGTTCATTCTGGTTCTTTTAAAACATACTGTTTCTTTTGTACCCCTTCTGTTTCACTTCCCCCCGCATGCAGTACACCCACCCATGTGTTTGCCGTGCATGGCGACCCGTGTCGGAGGGAAGGTGTGTCCTGGCAGTATCTGTGACTGTGTGTCACCATTGAACCTCCTTTGCGCCCTTACTGGTAGATCATGGGGCGCAGACTGAGTATGTCTTTTGCACCTATATAGGACTCAACCGTTCCATTTTAGATTATCGGTATATTGTTTATGGGTAAGCGTCTCGATCGACCCTCCGTTCATTGAATACCGTACACATTGCCGGTATACGGATCACCACAGGCGCTTACCGCACGAGTCGCATTGAATGCCTCTTGGCCGAGGCTGGTGAACCACCTCTGAGACGAAGGCGAGATATTGTAATCAGCTCCTATGGTGCGAATGTATAAGCCATAAATACTCCTTCGCGCCAAGCCACCGCACAGGTAGCTCAGAAGCCAAGTCACAGGTCATCGTACGAACTCAGACCATCGTTACCCCATCCTTCGGATATCCGCCTCTACATGCTCTTGCAGAAACTCGATATAAAATTTCCTATCCCTGTGACCCCCCCCCCCCGAAATCGTGTTCCCCCTTGGAAGCTTCTCCGACCTAAAGTAGACCTGAAATTATCACACTTCTCAAAATCCTCAACTCCCCCAGTACATTTCTGGCGGAATTCTAGGAGACGAAATTCTTGTATCCCGGCTACAACTTCATATACACTAATGGTTCCTCCCAGAATGGTAATGTAGGGTGTGTCTTATACTGCCACAGTGCAATACGGAGTCTTCGACTAGACTCTTCGTGCAGCGCTTATACTACAGAAAAATACGCGCTCTTGGAGGCACTTAAGTTCGCTGGATCGATGACATTAAAAGAAGCGTTGATTCAAACAGCTCGCTCAATCTACTTCCTGCTTCTTTTCTTGTGACCCTCTGACAATAATCTTCCAATACCAAATCCATAATTTACTAGTTCGTCGTTATAATTTGTTTTTTATAACAAACGATAACAAGCTGTTTCTCAAACGCATTCTCGATGCATGGAAACAGATGGCAGCACTCAAACTTTAAACTCACGAGAATCAAGTATTCCATAAAGCCTTGGTCTTCTTCACTCCGTGGGTCAAGACGCGAGGAGATAATTCTAACACTCGAATAATAATTCCTTCAACACTTCAATAATTATTCCTTCATCAGGTATGCTGCCACTATAATAAAACACTTCACAACAAAATTGTATTCATCTGTCACAGTTACAGCCTAACACATATATTATTCATAAATAATTTCACTCTCACTCATCCCGACCCATCCTGACCTACTCCGTCCCTCTCTAAAAATACGTACTAATAACCATACTTAATATACTACAAAGCAAAAAAAATATGGCATGTAGAACACATGAAATGCAGTTCATGTGCATTTCATCTGCATTCATACCTTTTTTACGACAATATCAAACATCCATCAACAAAATGTCGTTTTCCATACATTTCATATATAAATAAGTATACTTCTCTGTTATACACTTAATTCATTCATGTCTAGATGCAATTAAAATCTATATCCAAAGTACTTTTATAAATAGAGTGAAAAAATAGTCAGAATTATTCTTAAATATAAACATTTCGTAAGAAACAATTGACTGAAGATTCAACAACGTCGTCAGCTATTCTACAAATATACGCAATTCTGTGAATTGATGAACCCAATCGAGGACCTCAGTCGTCATCCTGTGCTGTTCCGGTTTTAATAGACGGTGGTTTACGTGTAATAGAAAAAGGATAGGTCCTAAGATCAAGCTTTACGGGACCCCATATTCAATTGGTCAAGAATTGGAAAGATATGTAAATAATGTCCTTTCGTGCCAGTACGGTATTTCTACTCTTTGATATCGATGTTTAAGGTACGAGGTTATCCAATCTAGGGCGATACCATGAATTCCATAAGGTAATTACGATAGCAAGATGTTATGATCAGTACCGTCAAAAGCTTTCGAAAGATCTAAAAATATTCCAATGGGTGTTTCATTTTGGTCCATTGATGAAGCAATATCTTTAAGAAAAGAAAACATGGCAGTTTCCGTAGATTTTTGTTTTCTAAAACCATGTTGTTAGTCTGAAAACGCTTCGTTTTTCCTGAGAAAAGTTTCCACTCGCGTATAGAAAAGCCTCTCTAATAGTTTGAGAAAACTGATAAACTGCCTAGCCGGTAATTTTGAATTTCATTTTTGTTCCCTTTTTTAAAAAGTAGCTTAATTTTTGCTGTTTTGAAAATATTTGGAATTATTCCTGTGCATAAAAAAGCATTAAAAATGTGAGTTAACAGGTGTATAAAGGCATGTACACAAGTTTTTAATACACAAACCGGAAATTCATCTGAACCAGATGAATATTTATTTTTTAGTTTACTGACATATTCTCAGGATTTCGTTAGTACGTTACAACGGAAATAAACATCGTGTCGACATTTTTTGGTAAGGGAATGATGTTGAATTTTGTGGTTTTAGTCCCTTCGTGAGTTCAGCCGCAATTCTAGAAAAGTGTTGGTTGAAGAGATTTGACACTTCTTGATTACTTGCTTCTCTTTCATTATCCTCTAAAACAGCATTCTCTACTAAGGACCGAGATGATGTGAGATTTTGTGATGTTTCCCCCTCGATATTCCACATTGCTATAGTTTTGTTACTAGCGTTCAAAATATCCTCCTATTTTTCATTATTTTAATTATAGTATTAACAATATAATTATTATATTATTAATAATATATTATTATTTATGTGTCGACAATGTACGAAAAACTCGCTAACGGAACCGGTCTGGTCCGCCGGTTTAGGAGACCGGGTTAATCGCATAGTCGCGGTCGCACGGTCTCGATCGTCTGGAAAACAACTCCGCACAGTTGTTGAGTAGACGCACTGTGTAATGTATGTGCGTAACATTAGATAACCATGGGGATATCGCAGTATCATACTCAAATCTACTAAACGTTTTTTTACTTTTTTTCTAGGAGGAACAACCCTTTCAAGCACTTGAGCTCTACACAAAATATGATGCTCCTCCCTTCTCCCAGAATTATAACATTTACAAACGAATTGCAATTGATATTTTTAATTTAACTGGCTTATCTAGTCCAGATTCTTATGCACAATGGGCGGAGCTTCGAAACATGCTATTGCAATTGGTATGTTTGAACTTGTGTATTAGTGATTATTGTTTCTGTTGATGTCTTTAAAAATATTTTTTGTATATTATTTTAGACAGAATCTATGAAGACATCTTCTGATGCTGGAAGTTCAGTACATGATGAATTCAATATACTTTTGGTCATTAGTCATTATTATGCGTCAAGATGTGCATATAAAGGTGTTGAATCTCTTGATGAGTTAGTTGCTAAGTTATCCATTTCTTTACTTAGACATACAGATATTATTCCTGCTGATAAGGGATATTATGAAGCTGGTGTTGATGCTCGTGTAAGTATTTTGTTTGTAAAAATATTTAAAAGATAAAGAGAACAGTGAATAAAAATTTCTGTCTGTTTTATGTAGGCAATTGGCAAAGAGAGCGAAGCTTTTGTATTTCTGAACCACTATCTTGATATTTGCGAAGCAATTGAAGAATCCAATCCTGATATGCTGGACTACAGTGATTTTAGTGCTACAGATTTCCCGATGGAAATCCCTCTTCCAACATCTCTTCATTTGTCTCCTGCACAACATGAAGAAGTTAAGGAATGGGTTCTAGCTGTTTCTATGGATCAAAAAGTTGATCAGGTGACTATCTCCATATCATAGGAGTATGAATTTATTTGAATTTTTTATTACTATTTTCAGCTGTAAAAATGACAATTTTATATTTGTATCCTTTTTACTTTCTCGCCTTACGAATTCTTTGTAAGAAGAGAGTTATATATCGTGCGCCAGAAAACGCCGAAATTTAGCCAGAATAAACCTCATTGCCGGATTCTGGTGTATATTACTAAACTCGTGGTGTAGCCTGAATTCATGTTTTGTTAGTTTTCGATTCCGAAAAATCGATTGACGGCAAAATGTCTACTTTATCTGACCGTGTGTGGTTAACGCCAACGCCTAAACCGTTCAGCTAATTGTCTTCAAAATTAATATACTCTGATTGATCTTAACAAACTGGAGACTTTGGGAGTTTCTAACGGATATTTTGATTGTTGAAGGTCTTTTTACATTAATCTGGCATTTACGTTTTTATACCTTTGTCAGAGTTCGGACCATACGGCGCTTCTGTGGCGTAGTGGTATGCGTTCCTTCACGTTAACTCAGAGCGGAAAAATAATTAGCTGCTTGACAACACTTTTGCTGGTTGTAGTAGTATAATGTTGCGGAGCTTTTGGAAACAATGCAAGAAAATATGAGCTTTGGCAGCTCCATTAGTTTATTGTTAGACTAGATTAATACTTTTTTTAACTTAAGGTAAATGAAAACACAGACTTGTAGCTATCGTGGTCATAACTCCCCCCCCCATGAGATGAGAAATGATACTCAGCAAACTAGCAAACTTACTTCTGCTTTGTATTGAAGTTCTACTCAATTATTTTAATGGAGTTTGGATGATTTGGTTTTGATTTTTGAAGAAATTATATTTTTTTTATTTTGGATTAATGAAATGCTGGATAGCCTTATTTTACCCTGTCCACTTCCATTCTATTTAGTTATGATTGCACAATTCCCTATATTTATTAATGACGTTGCAAATGATTATTTTTTTAAATGTATCAGAAAACAAATTTGGAAATTGATTTGTCATTCTTATTTCAAATACATGTTATTGCTTGAGTTCTTAGAAAATAATTGTGTTGTTTACAGGTATTGCCAGTGGATGATCGAATGCTGTATCCTGCCTCACTTTCATCAGGAAGTGGCCAATCTGCCCCCACATGTGTCATATCAGGTTATCCAATAATGTCAGTACGAGGTCGAAATCCAGTAGAATTCAAGAGGGTGGGCATGCTGGCAAATCGTGAAGATTGGAATAAAGTAATGATGGCAGTAAAAATGGCTCCTGAATCCCACATTACTGATGTTATTAATTTCATTAGTCAGTGGTGTGGAGGAGTCCCTATGTTTTCATTTCAATAGATCTCTCAAATAATTTCACTGACACATATTTGTAAAATGTGCTTTTCTTTTGAAATGTTGGTCCCACTCCAAAGGGATGTCTAGTCATAACAGGTTTGTGAATTTGAATGCACCAAAGATCTTTTTTCAAGAAACAAATTTTACATTATGTGATATATTTATGATGATTTCTGTGTTTAAAAATGCGGTTGTGAACATGTTGCATTTCACAGTTTAATATGGGGAATCAAGGTTTGTGCTTCTTGAATACATGGAACACTTTCTAGATTTTGTATACTTTTGTTTTATCCTATTATCTAGTAGGTCATTGATAGATTTTCTATCATATATTTCTAAAAAAATGCTTTTCATTTGAAAAGTTAGCCTCATTAGGAGGACATCAAGGAGCCTAGGCAGTCGTAATAAATTTGTGATTTTTTGAATCAAAAAACAAATTCCGTCCATTGTGTGATATATCTTAACATTCATTCTATGTTTATAACACTTTTTTGAGAACTTACAGCTCTCCACCATCTGAAATAAGAATCAGAGTTTCTATTTGTTAAAATATGTATATGTATAACAGTTTTACTGTGATGTAGTTCTGAGTTAATCGATTCATTCTTTTTGCGTAAAGAGCTCTTCTAAGAGGAAGTAACCTTTTAGGCATGCAATAATCTTGTCTTTTGCGTATGATAATGTTCACACTATGTATTTTTATTTCATTTTGTTCTTGCTTTGCCTGTATTAATTTTAATTAATTCTTTTGGATCATTGTACTTTTCCCAGTTACTTTTTTTGATTTATGTGTTTGCACTTTGAATTGATATTGGACAATGTATCACCAGAAATAAAGGATAATACAAAGATGAAGTTTGTGTACTACTTAATTATTCTCTACACATTTTTCAAAAGCATATTCTATAAATTAATAGAGAAGTTTTATTTTGAGTTTGAATACTCACACATTTCTCAAGGAAAAAAGTATTGTTAATATTTTGACTGTTTTGAGCATTAGAAAAGCTTAACCTTCAGTTGCTACTTTGAAATTTTGTTTCAAGTCCTGAGACAAGTTAATTTTTTTAAAAGTAATAATAGACGCATGGTTTTCTATTTGAGTAAGGATAAAAAATAAAATGCAATAATGTATTTTTGAAGATTTGAATCTAACTCAATATGGTTGTTATGGTTTATTCTGGCCTATTTTGGAACCATCATAAAATGTTAATAGATAAAAATTAACAATCAAAGTTCAATATGGACATGAATAACAAGAAATAATAAAGGATGCCAAAAAAAGGAAGTGACCAGCATTGGGAAAAGAAAAATAAAGTGTATAGTTTTTTAATGGGACATGCAATTAATTTTTATGCTTAGGAGTGTAACAGTAATAAATGGAAAGGGCAGATTGTGAGTGAAAAACAATGCAATAAGCATAGTGAGTGACAGCCAATGAGAAGAAGCAGTGTGAATGACAAATGAACATGATGTACAGATTCTAGCAAATAGAGATGAAATTGAAGAACATTTGGTTAGGAAGAAACAGCTGAAAGGCAGGTGATGTGATTTGCAAAAGAGAATATGCTCCTTTGGAAACTACCGCTGCATTTGACAGCACTCTGAATCCCTGAGGTAAGCTGCTCCAGCCTGACAGACTCTTGCTAGATGCATTAGGTATAACATACATACATTATATTATTAAATCCTTTATGATGGTTAATAATAGCTTTGTTTTTGCTATTATTAGTACTGTTATTACTATTAGTATTGTTATTATAACTACTGAATTATTATTTTTTATTATTATTATTATTATTTTTGTTAGTTTGAAGGCTTAGCATCTAAGGCCTTTAGCCTTTTTACTG